AATCTAATCGTCACATCGATCGTGATGCGAACACAATGTGACGATTGGTGTGACTAAATAAAAACATTTCTAAACAACTATAAAATTATTCGAGTAATGTTAATCACAGAAACTATTTTATTTTCTTACTATTTCTTATTTTATTTATTTATTTTTTGTTTTCTGCTCTCTTAAGTTACGATCATGACCCTACATTGAAAATATTACATACGTTAAATCGAAAAAAAAGTAATGCCATTTATACATGTGCAGCATTGACGATGTTTTTATAGACGTATATACTACTCCCACGAAAGATATAAAAAATGAGTTCAAGGATTACGAGTTTATGATGTCTTGAAACGTGGGTATTTCTTACGAAATATGTTATAAGTATTCGAAAAAATATATTATAGTTGTTAAACAGTCATCTGTATCGAATTATATTTATTTCTACTTTCACTATTTATTAAACATTAGATTTGAATTTAATTGTAGATTAAAAGAATAATATCTTACAACGATCTATATTTCTATCTATGTTTAGTTTAACATATTTTTTTATATTTTGTAAAAGATGTATAACAGAAGCATGTATATTCTTAAACATTTTTAAAGATAGAAACTTTAATGCATACGTTTCAATCAACATTTTTTACCGTTTAGCGAATATTATATATTTCAAGAACGATGCTCACGTTTTAAGACACATCCTGTACATAAGTAGTGCAGAGAAACGATTTATCTTACGACTGGATAGATAGTTCGCGTTATCTGGATTATCATTATCCTTACGCCTTCCTGTGCAATCGACGTGAAATACAACGTGCAAGGTGGATATGTACAAGATGAAATCTTACGAACATGATCGCGCCGATCGAAGAGGAAGAATCCACCATGTGTTATCCACGCAAGTACTGTGTACCTTGCTTGGATACGTACACTGCGTGTACTTTACGAATGCCGGATCTGCGTGTATCAAAGGCCTTCTCCGTGCTTGTATTTATTCGCAGACTTGATCGTATTTCAAGTACGGACAGAATTGAGGCTCTTGCCAAGTGAGCACTAAGGATACGTGTTAACGAATACATAATATATAGCAGTAGCATAAAAAATAAATTTTCTAGAAGTATAAATAAAAAACGAGGATTCTACAATACAGATAAGAGCTTTATTAAATTTACTTGTTTCAATTTAATAGATGAAACAGTCGATACAATTGAATAACAAAAATTAAAAGACTTTCTTTATTCCGATAAGATTATTTTTTAATTTAATTACAGTATAAAAATGCTCTTGTTGTAAAAATGCTTTTGTATAAATGGGTGGATCGTAATTTTAGAAACGATATAAGAGAGAAAAAAAAGTTCAATTTTTAGATATTATAAATTCTAATAAGTTATATGTAAAGATTGTGCGTTATTGACATATAGTTATAGGTAGATATTGTGTGTACACAAATTGTAGTTCGTTCTTTTCTTAGCGAAATTTTAAGAATTGTTTAGAATAAACGATTGTATTATTTTAAAGCGTTGTTATCAAATAAGATTTATCCAGAAATTTGCAAAATTTTACTGCAGTTATTTATATTTTATTCTTATTAACGCAATTTTAGTAACACCTTTAGCATTGGAGTACAAATTGTGAGCGCGAAGGCGTTTTGAATATTTATCAATATACACAACATCCATTACGATCCACCTACATTTACCGTTCGTTCGAGCATAAGTTATTTTAATTTTGTCGTTCTTCCTGGTGAAATGACGCAGGAAACCATTTTAGGAGATCGTATCGTAAATATGAGAGCTGAATTAATTACAAATGTTAGGATTATCACATGGATACGTAACCATTAAGGTGTTGAAACTGGATTCTGCTGCAGGTTAAAAGAGCGATACATTAATCTGCATACGTGATATATGCGCGTGCGAGTTTATACGGAGTAGATATACAATATTATAGTCTTCTGACGCAATATGAATCGATATCAATACGATCATTTTGATCGTCGTTCGTTCGAAGAACTCCCTCGCACTTGGATGCAGCTATTAATCGGTAACGTTATCCAAAACGTGATTTTGATACATGGTATTTTAAAAACTCTGACAAAAATTTCAGTGGATGGTAAATTTCAGAAAAAAATAAACTTTTGTTAGGTAAATTTTGTTATAGTAAATTTCACAAGCTTTTGTTAAATTTCATAAAAGAAATAAACTTTTGTTAAGGAACCTATGTCGTCGAACGCATTTTTAAGGAGCTACCAGTCGCGCGTGACGTCTGACAATAGGTACAAGTTCACGTCCTTTAACTTTGTTTCGTAAAAAGACAAAAAAAAACAAAAACAGACTGGTATTGTTAGACGTCACGTGCAATGCTGCCACGCGATCGATTACGTACCTCATAGTTGCTCTAAAGACACGTAACTCTTTAAAAATGTATCCGAGAGGATACAGGTTTCTTAACAAAAGTTGATTCTTTTGAGATTTATTATCTTCTGAAGTTTGTCCCAGTGATCCTAAAATATTCTACATTAGACATGGAAATACATTATAATAGAAAAAAACATAATAAAAAGCATAATATTTTAGAAACTTGAAAAAATGTAGGAATATCAAAAATGTGATGATAAAAAAATTTGTTTAAGCCATATATATAAAAAGAATAAGCACATATGCTTTAAAAGTAACATTCGATTTTTAAAAAATCGTGGATTTAGGCTTAAAAGGATGTACGTTACAAGAAATAAAATTTATTGCAATAAAGGTGCGTACGGAAGGATGTAGGTACAATAAGGAAACTGCCGAAGGCGCGCGCTGCGATTTCCGCAAGTAATATTCTTCCTTAGTCCTTATCCTCTCGAATCGTGGGAACTGTCCAGCATCGTGCGTTTACCTGCCGTGCAACCATCCGCATATTTGACTGTCTGTGAAAACACGCTCTAGCATTCTTCTATCCATTCAACCCAATCGGACTCATATTCGAGTCTCGCACCATTCGATTTCCTTCTAGCTTCTAGATGTCTTAAAATATCACCTATCGTGTTGCTCAAAGCGCTCACCTTACGTTCTTTTATTCGTCTCAAGTGCAATCGATAAACGAGATTAGAGAGTGGATGATAGATAGGAGGTAATGAAAAAAATTATAAGCTTCATTGTATAAGTACCGCGTTTGTGAAATCTTTTCATTGATATTCTAGTCGTGAAAAACCACCGGAAAATTTCATTATAAAAAAATTACTTTCTAGTAAAATAATTTTAAGAAATTATATTTTTATGGAAATTTATTTAATAAACCGAGAATTATCGTCAATGTCATGTAATTTGCAAATATTAGACGTATCGTTAATTTTTATTTATAAAAAATAAACGAAACTGAATTGTGAAATTTATAAAAGCATAGCATTTTTAAGAAAAATACTTAAATAGTTGCATAATTAATAATTCTATATTAATATGTACATAAAATTGTTAAATATCTAAAAAATTTTAGTACAAGTTCTTTTCGGCTTTTCGTATCTTAGATAAGGAATTTATGATGTGTTTTACGATCTATCTTAATAATATATATGGCTAAGTCAATAAAGGGAAGTTATTTTAGGTTTGCGCAATTTATCGTTCTTCTTCTAATTCTTCATAAGATCTTCACAACATGCATCACGATGAAGTCTGCCATAAAACACGGACCATGCGATTATGGTCTTGTTCCTCGCTTCTACGGTCCGGCAAGGTCACGTAATTTCTTTTTTTTGCACCTTTCATCTCTCATCTTTCATTCCTGAGTAACAAGACGTGTTTAGTAGTTACTTCGGATGATCACGTTCGCTCTCGGTAAAGCCTGATGATGAGCATAGCGTACGCGGCATCTGCGGTAATCGTATCGAATCGTTACTAATGCGACCCGTTAATTGTTCCGCACGATCCGTGCAATGATCGCGATGTTGAATACGTTTGCCGTGTTTATTGGAGATAATTATCATACTGCGCACCTAAACTGCTCGTGGATATTAACGTATTACGTAATGCGTTTCGGTCGTGCAAGAATTTCATTCGTGGCCATATCGCGTCGCACCTCGTGCACAAACACAATCGAATGATCGGAATGTCTGATTCGATGAATATTTATCGCACGATATATGCATATACTGCGCCGTATATTTCGCTGTAAATACCTAATTAAAAGTTGAAACACAGAAACACTTTTATCGTTAGAAGGATGCTGGGGATTTGATTATTATTGAAACAATTTCGAGTTAAGTGCACACACACAAAAAAAATTTTATAATTATAATTTTATATAAATTTGCAATTGATTTGCAGATATATACAAAAATTACTGTTGATTCGTAGATCTTATTTGATGAATCGAAAATTTAAATATTTGTATTATATTAGTACATATTGATCGCTAATTATTCATTAAAATTATATGTGTAGTTATAAATGTCAAACAATTAAATAAAATACATAATGACAATAGTTACGAAGATGCATCTATAAATATAAGCGATAAAATCTTTACTTACGAAATACAGGGTTTTGTAATGCTATTTATCTACAAACTTATCTACAGACATTTAGGGGAAATAATATTTTTAAGATATCAAATATCAAAATTATTGAATAAACTTGTCTTGTATATATAATTATTTTTATTTCAGATAATATCAGTTGTTTCTTTAATATTGCAGTGATAAAAATGTTTCGACTTGACTCTGGTGAACTATATTTCACATAAACATTCTCACGAATTAGTTCCATCAATCAGTGCAATATATGAAGTAATAGAAATTGCGATTGGAACGATTTTCTATGACAGTCGATTTCCTTCTTTCATGCAATCACCTCGTCGTCTTTTTCAATTTCTTTCTTTTTTTTTTGAACGGAGATGTACGTTCTAGATATATGAGGCGGGAAAGATTCTTTAAGATTTTTTTTTCTTTTTGTACCGCGCCGCGATCCAATTACCGTCGAGCTCACGCGCCCATTAACGTGATGCGTGCTCCGTTTTCCTGTTCCAGTCACAACCATGGTATGACACTTGATTGAGGTAGCCAGTCCATAAACGACCACCAACCGCTGCCGCCGCCATGAGTAAGCTATTTCAATTTCTGGCCCTCCTCCTGTTGAGTGTCAATGCCAGACGGACCGACGGAGACAGACCTGCGGATGACGCGTACGCCGGCCAGCAGCGTCGCGGCTCCCTTCACAAGTCGAATTACAACAACAATAATAATTACAATCATCAGTCGAACTCGCCCTATCTTCCGCATCAGCAATCTAGAGAGCGGAAGCCCAACATCGTGCTGATTCTGACGGATGATCAAGACGTTGAACTAGGTTTGTAATGACAAACAGGAGTCTCTCGGAAGCCAATCTGATCAATCCCGCCTACTATAAATTTCTTAATTTTAGTAGCGGAGCACATGATTAGTTTGTTACCTCATCAACTCTCTCTACCTTTTATTTCGTGGAGTCGATCAATTTGGCTTCTGAGAGACTCATTTATCGCTGGTATAAATGCCTACGTAGAACACAGAGTTCACTTTGTTTATTGCGTGCAGCAGCCCGCTGGCGCCTTATCTCGTCATCGTGATATTAGTCTCAGTCCTTACGAAGGCCCACTCCAAGATATCGCGACACATACCCGAAGAGAAACGCGTGCAATATGCAATCTTATCTGTAACGTTACGTAGAACCTTACGTTTATTTATTTCACTAATTCGTCTGTGTTAATATCAAACTAGACTGCAGGTACTTTCAAGCAACACTCGAAATCTTCATTTACAGACATTTGAATCGATTTCTTTCTATAGCAAACACGAAATTTTAATTAGAGTTTGTTTTAATGGTTTGAAAACGTAAATCCATTGGCATCTTTATTTAGACTTACAACTTTTGACTTGCATTTTTATTTGGACTTACAACGTTTTAAAACGTTGACGACTTTAGTACGATTTTTTATAAGTTAGAATTACTTAATTAAAAATTTTTGCAGAGTCTGATTATTCATATCTTTATTTATTATGATAATACTATCTTTAGGTATTATGGATTTTGTAGAATTTTTAAAGTGATAGTTTTCAAGAAAATAAATTTTTTCTTTCCTTAAAAAATTAAAAAAATAGCACTAATCGTTTTGCTGTCGCACTGGGTATTTTTATTATGAAAAGCTAGCCACTTCAAATATGAATTATACAATCCACAAGTGAAGACCGTGTATTTATTCTGTGATATAAGCACCAATAGTACATTCGTATTCAGCGCAATAAACAGCATATTGAAACCGACACGATTAAATGATTGCGGGACAATGAACGTGTTTTGGCATACATAGATGAATCGAGTTGTTGTATGTTTGATTGTATCCAAAATGGTTGTCTCGTATCTATTGCAGGTTCGCTGAACTTTATGCCACGGACTTTGAAGCGAATAAGGAACGAGGGCGCCGAGCTGAGACACGCGTACGTGACCACTCCCATGTGCTGTCCAAGCAGGAGCTCTTTGCTCACCGGTCGTTACGTTCACAATCATGAGGTCTTCACGAACAACGACAACTGCAGCAGTCCCCAGTGGCAACGAGATCACGAACCACACTCCTTCGCCGCTTACTTGAGCAACGCGGGATATCGGACAGGTAAGAGAGTCCCCGTCGTTCCGTCCTGTAAGCCTGGTGGATGATTACAGGTCTCCGCTTCGTGATTTCGCACTTTGTGAAGAATCGTACGCACGCAAAGCGTTTAACGATATATTATTGGAGGTATTAAAAATAGGAAACGTCTTACTTCCATTACGTGAAACTTTTTTGACACGTTTTTCGAATTATTTTAATGTTAGATAAAATTACATAATTTTTCCGACAATTAAATTTTCGTTTAATTCAGAACTACTTTAACACAATAAAATGGAACGGAATTATATATTGAAAAATTTAAGTAGTGTTCTCTTCACTGAATTCTAAATTATTCGAAAAATCCTACAAGAGAAGGGAAAATCAAAAATAGCTTCTTCATTGAGTTATTTATCGTTCAATATGTTTATTACTAGCGCGATATGAAGAGAACAGGCGCGTTATTGTTCGTTGCATTGTAATGCACATAACTCGACCTTTGGCCGTACAAACGCAATCAGGATAATTGAGGCACGTTCAATTGAGAAGTGAGATTTCTATTTACCTCCCTATGCTGGCACAATGCACTCTATGCATAACTGGAGTCAAATACGGTCAACGATAAATCCTCGTTACGTAGGTCAGCGTGAGCCATTTAGGCTGGGATTTTCAATTAGAGTAGATCGAAACCTTGCTTTCCTTTTTCCTTCTTTTTCTTCATCTATCGTCGCGTATAAATTAATATCGTCGTAGCAACAATTTCCATGATATTTATTCGCGCGTCATTAAACGAAAAGACAAACCGACGTTTCCTATTTACATACGGATGCTGCGCCCGCGAGCGACATATTCCCGCAATTAAAATCTCGATTAATCCTCCCTTCCCCCATTCAGCCTCCTCCCAACGTTTCCATGCTCGACATACCGGCGTCCCGCGATTTTCATTCCGCGCAATAGATCGTACCGAATAGAACGAACACGGCAATGTGCATTCCCGCGAAATTCCCGAGGCGCGATCCTGCCAAGCCGGGTTTCGTCCCGCGCGATTATTCGGCAAGTGTTACAAACTCCCTCTCTCCCTCAGCCTCTTATCCCACGGTCTGATGAATCTTGCCTCTCTCGAGAGCCAAAAACGGTCATAAGATAATACGCACAGATAATACGAAATTTTACTGAAGTATTTAAAAATTTAACTAAATACAGATAAATAATTTTGATGAGCTATTAAAATGATTATGTACAATATTAGGCTGTCAAGTTAATTGCTTGAATGTCAAAACTTTTTAGAGAGTAGAAAATTCAAGCATGATAAGTAGTGTTACAAAAAGTTTTGACATTCAAGCAATTAACTTGACAGCCTAATATTGTACATAATCATTTTAATAGCCCATCAAAATTATTTATCTGTATTTAGTTAAATTTTTAAATACTCACTCTAAAGAATGAAAATTGAGTCACTTTAGAAAAAGAATAGCTCAATTTTCAATCTTTAAGAGTGAGATTCCACTTCAGAGTAACAATTCACTCTAAAAGTTTTAAAGAGTACATAATTACTTTGGTCCAATGAAGCTATTTGCCAATCTGTATATCTAGCTAAATTTTTAGATACTTCAGCAAAATTATTTCTTTTGCGCATATAACATCTATGCCGCGATGCAATCGATCGATTGATTCAAAGTCCCAATATTCGATCACGTTGATTGAGGCTCGGACTTCTATCAACCGCTCGCGATTTCGTGGATATCCGTTCAGCATCAATCGAATTAGTCAGCATCAATCGAACCGAAAATTCGCGATTACTTTGACGTATAGTACGAAATTAATCAACTGCAAATGATTAATATTATAATTCATACCATGTATAGTATAGATAACTTCCAAAAATTATAAAATTACTGAATTTTTGTACAGAACTGAAAACTACTGTCGAGATTCATCTCTCATTTACTTTTATCATCGAAGTTCGAACCCAATGTTGCACCTTTTATTGTATGCTGGGTGGTTTTCTTTTTAGAAGAAATTGAATTTCGTTGCGTTTCTCTGGTGACAATGCCGCGTACTGATCGTGGGTGAGCGACTTGAGTGAAAAGATTTTGAATGTACTTTTTATAAAGTTATCCCAACAATAATTAATTAGTTACTATGATATAGTGCTTTATTTTAAAAAAGTATTTGTCTAAACTAGAAAAATATAATTGCCGATATTTGTATGAGGTTTAAATAACTATTTATAATGTAGTTCAGTTGCTATTTCACTATCAATTAATGGTATACAAACATTATTGCCGCAACTTATATTTTTACAGTGTTGAGTATTAGATTAGTAGTTATTACTCTGTAAAACTAGCTACAGATACTATAATTTCCAATATTGTCAAATTTATAGTTGCCACAACTATTTTGTTTTCTCTCAATGTATGATCGATCATATTCGCGGCGATAAGGAGTTATGTGGCAGCGTTACAGATTGCAGATAAAATTTGCTATGTTTGTGGCCGCAACTTAGCTCGAGATGATACGCAGTGACATTAATGTACTGTAATATAATGGATAGATGCATCAGTTGCGATTCTACATACCTCGTCGAGTTTATCGAGAGATGCATGAATGTAATAAAATATGTCCTCCACGGTGGATGTCGCGAGCTTTATCACATTATATTGCATTACGATCGACAATTTTTCTTATCACTAAAAGGTATCATAATTCGCGTTAGCGTATTCACAACATCAAGAATTCTTGATGGATCGTGAAACATTGTAGCCATCTGTCACAAGCTTATATGAGATAAATACCGCATTTTTTTTGCGGAAAATCTCACTGAAAAAAATGCATGTAATTTTACATGGAAATTACATGTTCATGACTGGAAAATTGCCTAAACATGATTGGAAATTTACAATTTCCAGTAAATTTTCAAGCATATTTATGTAATTTAGATAATTTTCCAGTCATATGCATGTAATTTCCATGTAAAATTACATGCATTTTTTTCAGTGATGGATACATCAGAATTTTATCGCACGTATAGATGCATGGCAACGATTTGTATCTCCAAAGATCCGATACCTATTTTTAAAGTCTGATTTTTTAAATATTTGTTAATTTTAATTGCGATTTAATTGGTTTTCAATTCGTTTCTGGATTCTGTCTAGAAAGAGCGTCAGAAAATCAGTTAAGTTTCAGTTAAAGATAATTGACATTGCTAGAACCGAGCCGGGTGAAAGGAATGCAAAGCGACGATATATATTCTGGGGTGCAAAGGGAGGCAAAAATCTCGCGATCGCTGGGACCAATCGGTGCGCTCGCTCGCCGATGTCGGACCTTGCACGTTCGGGCAAGAGAGCGGATCTCTTCTGCTTCTTCTTGTTCGTCCGTATCTTCCTTTCCGTCGCGTTCGTTTGCGACCATATTCGCGTAGGCAGGACGTTGCTCCCTGAAAGTGCAGCCAGCCAGCCGACCAGCTAGCTAGACTCATGTCTCGTCGATCGAACCACTCGCCTACATCCGGCACGATTGCTACGATTGGCGATCTTCCAAAATTCGTGTACACATCGTATTCCTCTACTTCCGGCACAATGTCTGCGTCGAAATAAAATCCGGATTTGTTAAGATAAATTCGTTTGAATCGCGGCCGAAGGTGAAAGAGTGGTTAATTGCCATGATATATTACTCCGTTTTATGATTTTCTTGAGAATGATCGTTGATGATATAAGTTTCTCGCTTGACAAACTCATATCTTGCCCCTAGCATACATTTACATTTCGATTCAATGGCCCATATATCGGATGAAACTCGTCTCGATACTACGCTTTTGCACGACCTGATTGAATCGGATCTCTTTTTGTTCAATCTCGCTAGATACTTGCATAATAATATCACGCAGAATATAAAATATTGTTGATTTTATCGAAGGTATATTAGTGTACAAGAATTTAAAAAATAATATATTTAAATTAGATTTAATCCGGATAGAAAATGATAAATTTTTATAATATATAAACAGAAAGTTGAATTAGAAATTAATAATTTATAGCAACATATTACGCATGTGTACTTAACTTTATTTAAAGATTCAATCACATTTGTAAAGAATGACACAAAAGTAGAAATTGTAGTCTAGAGTCATATTATGATTATAAATGAAAAATTGGAGGTAATAAAGTTGCTTATTTATTTCGTCCGAAATCTTAGAATCTTACTTTATGGATGTGGCATTTAAGGAATGTTCAACAAAGCTTTCTGATTGTCGAATTATCAGGAGAAATGATCATTCGCAATAAAGAAACGTGTTTCGCAAAATACTGATTGGTGGCCGTGTTTTAGGGAAAGGAAGAAACTTGTTTTTTGTTATCGTCGCATATTATGCAGGGTCTCTAATCAGAAGACTGGCCAGGCGATAAATTTTCTTTATCATTTTCGCGAGAGAATCTTGTCGCGCGCGCGAATGCATACATTATTCTCACCATTAAGGTGCATTCGTAACTTTGGAATTTGACAAGTAAAAGAAGTACGTACTTATTTGATATTTCAGGGGTTTATTTGATCCATAGAACGTTTTCTTTATTCTTAAAATTATAATTTTTAGAGAGTGAGGCATGCAGACATTTTCTAGAAAACAATAATAAATGATTTATTAAAACCGTATATGTGAATACACAACAAGTAAGAATTTTAATGCCTATTACGGTCGAAGCTGAATCTTAGATGCTTTTTAAATAATTTCTATGTGAATTTATATACTAAATATGTAATTATTTGAACTGCGCGCCGGAATGATTTTTCGGACTTATAAAAGCAATTAAACTACTATAGTAATATCACAAATTAAATTGATAAACAATTTTATAATTTAACGAACAATTATTTATAATTGGAAACAGAACAATAATTCTTATTTAAATTCTTTCAGAAGTCAAACTGATTAACTCGAGGATTAACTAATTCTTGCAAATTTTATGATTTTAATATCAGAACCTCGACCATTAGAATATATGATTACGTTAATCTATTTTCTCTCATTGTGT